AAAAAAAAAAAAAAAAGAATTACTGTATTGAATTACAAATAAAGAATATAAAACCATATATTTACTTTTTTTTTTTTTTTGGTACTAGGGATTGAACTCAGGACCTTGCGCTTACAAGGCAGGCAGCAGAACTACTGAGATAAATCCCGGCCCCAGCAGTTCATTTTTGAAATTTTTTTTTCGTAAATATAGATTAAAGTTTGTGTAGTTGACTGAAATAAAAAATATTTTAAAAATATTTTTTAAAGCAAAGCTATAACCAATTGAAGTGGTGATATATTTAAATTTAAATTCATTCATTTCCATTTTATTTCATCTAGTCGAGTAGAATTAAAGAGATTGTGTGAGATCTTCACCCGAATGTTTGCTGACCCTCATAGCAAGGTAAGTCTGGAATCATGCCTCACTTGTATTCATATCTGCATGTCTGCATGTCTGTGTATATACTATTTAAGAATGAGCAATAATTCCCATTAGTGCAGTTTTAGCCTTACCAATTTTACTTCTGTTTCAGCAATAGTATATATATGTTACATCTTTTAAAAAGTGAATTCTTGGGAACTTAAATGTCTCTTAAATATACTTTAAGTAAGAGTCATCATGGAGAGATAATCAAATGTCATTCGTTCATTATTCATTCATTCAACAAATTTTTTTGCATGCCTTCTCTTAGCCAAACAATGGGATGGTTTTATAATTAAGATCTGTAGTATGTTTTTGAAGTTACAGTAGTGAAGAAAATATGCATGTAATTATTTTTGTATCCCATGTAGTTTGTCATAGGACATGTAGAAACATGGAAGGATTTATTTAATGGGTTTATTAAAAAACAAGGTTGTTATTTCTCCAAATAGAATTTTGCTGTTTGCAAGAACTTGCTGAATGGTGGTTGCTTGCTGATGTCTCCACCTCCTAAGGCCAAAGGGAGCATCAAGTTTGAGGACTTAACTTTTTAGCAAAAGTTCTGCAGAGGAGGAAATACCCATGAGTGCAGGACAAAGTCCTTTCTAAGGCTTGTGCTGAGAGAGGACCTTTTTACAAATGTCACTTAGACTCTAGATTTTTAATACCTAACCCTTGTTTGGGAAGAAGCCTTTAAAGGCTATTGGATGCATTTAGCAGAAGGGAATGAAGAGAAGATGTAGGGGAACTTAAAAGGTAGCTAAGGGACAGAAACTAAAGTGTAGAAATTTCAAATCAGACGCAAATCTTAAGTGCTAACATGCAGGATTAGCTATGTTATAGTACTGTTTTTTAATAAACATGGTCTTTTCCAAGTTCTGCTGAGAAAAAGAACCATGTGATGACCAAAGAGTCCAGCCAGTTATTAATCATCTTCCTTCTTTTTCTATCTTTGCTTCCTTATAAGAATTGTCATTAAAGTAGCAAACATCCACCCACCCATCCATCTATCCATACATCCATCCATCCAGTCCTCCAGCACTTACTGAGTATGTGCCATGAGCTGAGGACATAGAAAACAAGATAGGGTCCCTGCCTTTTGAATCACCCATAAGATAGAATGGGATGAATGCATAGTAGCTCTCCACCCCCATATCCCCTGCACAGTTTTCACTGTACCAGTCTCGAAGCATGTCTTAAAATTTCTATTAAGACTTTCACAGAAAGAATAAATTTAACAATATTAATAAAATCCAAAAAAGATGGAGTTTAAAGGCCACATAGCTATCCAAAGATATAATCAAGACTTTATTCTTAACCATAGTGTTAAAAGCAATAAGATTTAAAGCATAAGCATTTGTAAGCAATATACCATAAGGGATATTTAGATGGTTTTGGGCATTGATTAAATTTCTGTTACCTGTTACCTCTAGATTGCTAATTCAGAAGCAGAATGTGAGGATAAAGAAGGAAATTTGTTTCCATCAGAAGGCTCTTGTCCAGTGAGTTTGGAGGTCTCGGTTTAGTCAATACTTGGTCACTTCCTGTGAGCTAAGCCAGAAACCCCACAGCCAGGACTCACTGACTTTTTTCCTGAGCTGTCTCACCACAGCCCCCTCGTGGTGAACAGTTACTTGTGACCAGTGGGCTGTCCCAGTAAATCAAGTTCATTAACAAAGAAGGAAACCCAATGGTACTTACCACCCTGAAATTTTTTTCAGAGACGTTCCATTGTGTACTCTTTCACCTTAAATAGCAGCCGTAATTTTACATCAGCATGAGAATTATATGAATTGTCAGAATCTTTTATTATAATCTTTTATTATTTCATAATATCTGAAATCGGCATACATCAGAAAGCTGACTTAAAGGCAATAGCTGTACAGTAATGAATAGGATCTTCCTTGTGTTTCACCCTATAATAGTATTTTTTTTAACATGAGATGAGAAAAAATAATAGAGAAGAATTAGGACAATTGAGAGTCTGTCTCTCTGTTTCTGTCTCTGCCTATCTTCCTCTCTCTCTCTCTCTCTCTCTCTCTCTCTCTACCCCACCTCCAGGATTTAAATTAGAAAAGTTCATTTCTCTCTGTTGACCCTTACAGGCTTATATTGAGGGAGGAGAGAATATTTTATCAGTTTGTAGCTTTTTCAGGATTTTTGAAGAAATTGCAAGAAAATGGTATCCATTCCTTATGAACTAACATAGAATTTGTTTTGTTGCATGGCCTGGTTTGCGGTGGAATTCACAACAGAGAGTAAGTGACAACCCTTTTCCTTTCTCTGTGTTTCACAATGCATTTGCCTCTGTGACATGAATGATCATTGATGTTGTGAACCAACCTGAGTGACAAGAGTCTGGGTGAAACGAGCATGGATGTTTTTAATGTTTTCTGTAATATGGTGGAGATCAAATTGAATTTATGATATGTTTGGTTTTCGTTTGCATCTAGGTGTTCAGTATGTTTTTGGAAACTCTTGTGGATTTTATAATAATTCACAAGGATGACTTGCAAGACTGGCTTTTTGTTCTTCTCACACAATTACTTAAGAAAATGGGAGCAGATTTACTTGGATCTGTGCAAGCAAAAGTTCAGAAGGCTCTAGATGTCACAAGGTAAGTGTTTACAGGCTCAACCGTTTTGATGTTGCACGATTTTTGTCCTGCTTTCTTGCCATTGGTTCTGTTACTCAGAGTCCTTGCCACCCGCTCCAGTCACTCTCTTGCTCAGGTTTCACGTTCTCTTGTGGACATATTTGTTGGCGTGTCTCACTAATGTGGGAGAGGAAACACCTGTCTTCCTTGAATTGGTATTATCTTTGTGGATTCCTGAGATAAATATAAAGACAAATGTAAAGCTTTGGAAATTGATTCTCTGTGGCACTATGTGTAACACTCACAACTTTTCTGTCCTGTCTGGCTTGCTGGGCTAACGGTAGCAGTGCTGCTCTGCCATTGCTCCCATGTGTGCCACTCATACATGATTCTGGTTGCCATATATTCGTTTCTTCTTTAACTCACTGATGCCAACAGGTTTTTGCTTCTTTTTTTTTTTTTTTTGAGGGGTGGAGTCAGTCCCTGACCCTGTCAACTTAAATAGTTTTTATGCTGCTGAATACTGTTGTCCAAGTGGATTTTCTTTGGATTTTTAATGAACTCAGAGTAGCATAACTACACTTATAATAAGGTTTTTAGACTTCACTCTCCCTTTGAATCAGTAGGGACCATTACCATACACTAGTGTATGGGTGGGTTTGTGGAAATGTGACTAAGGATTGCCTGGGGGCTATGGCATTGCATAAGGGCTGTGTTGCGGCTGATATTTATAAATGAGCGCCAAAAACAGGAGGAGAATTACTGTTGGGCTTGCAAGCTGTAACCACTTGTGAGCGTATTGAGATGTGGGAGCCATTACTGCAAGAAAAGTTCAGAAATAGGAATTGGGAAATGCATTTGCAGATTTAATGGTGTTTTGTTGTTTGTTGGTTTTTACTCTGTGTCTTAGTTACTTTTCTTGTTGCTGAGTCAAAATGCCCAACACCCAACATTAAAGGAGGAAAGGTTCATTTCAGCTCACAAGTCTGTAGAGGTTTTGAGCCATAGGCAGCTGGCTCCAGAGCAGAAGGGAATTGTAAAAATAGTCCATGGTAAAGCAGCAAAGTAGCAGGAAGCAGCAGCACCAAGCCACAAGGCAGAAGCCTGTCTCTTTTATCCCTTCCAGGCTACCTAGCTTTTGGGTGGTGCTGCCCACACCCAGGGTGGCCCTTCCCGTTATTCATACTCAGAATTATGCTTAACCAATCACTAAACTGATTAATAATTACACACCCGTAATCCTAGCATTGCACGGTTTAATCCCAGCATCACACACTGTAGAACCAGCTACCTCTGAAAAGCCCCACCAATGACAGCATGAGGCTTTGGGGGGACATCTAAATATAAATATAAATCGTAATGCTCTGTACTGGCCAAATAAAATGTGTGATCCAGAGTTAGATCACTTAATTTGTGTGAATTTATGAATGACATAATCCATTTCAGATTTTTAGGGATGGTGGATATAATGACAGTATACTCCTTAATTGTGATGAGTAAGGAATACAGATGTGAGCTATTAGTTTTTTTAGTTCCTCTTTTTTTTCTCTCTTTTAAGAATCTCAGTCTCAGTAGATTTGGTCTGAGTGCCTAAGGCATTTTTGATTTTCTTATTCCAGCTGAAGTGTATAGCTGCATTATAAACTCAGTCATGGATTACATGCTGGGGCTTTTGGTAATGGTTGAGAGTTTCTCCACAGGTTCTCAGCCTGGCTGTTAATCTGCCTCAGTTTCCTTGCCTCTTGCGATGCCTAACAACAGGTACATTTTCCGGTTCAACACACCAGTTACTGACTTGTGTTCCCCATCCACCCCTTGCTGCAGAAATAGGGAGTAATGTTTTGTGGGTGGTGTGTTAGCCCAGTCACTTATAGTGTGCATACTCCAGCGTACTGTGTTTTCAGAAGTAGTCATCGAAGCTTCCAGCATACACATAGCTGTAGCAGAAAAGAATGCTGTTGGGTCAAATTTACTTTTTATTAATAATTATAATGATAACTCTGGTACATATTATGTGCCACATTATAAAACTTTCTATTTTTCTTGTATTATATCTTTTAATTTTTGCATCAGTCCTGTGATAATTGATATTATTGCTTCATTTTATAGATTCAAACCTACATCCATTTTAATTTATTGTGCTTCTGTAAATTAACAAAACTCTCTTAAGAGATTGCAAAGAAAGTAATACAGTTACTCAGCCTTAATTGTAACAAATACTTGGGTTGCTTTATTTTTCCCTTTAATGTAGAATTAAGTTATATCAGCATTGTCCACATAGGGTTCCATTAGGCAATTTTAAGCTAATGTTAATAGTGCTGCATTTAAAGGAGAAAGCACTGACTTTGTCTAGCAAGGAGACCCTTAGGACCACTTATTGAGTCAGAGATGTGCAGTGACTATGAGAAGTAGGATTAGTCACAGACGTGAAATGGAGCAAGAGAAGAAACTCTTTGGCCCAGGCTCCTGTGTGTGAGCTGCAGCTGGGTGGAGAATTTCCCACTGTGGAGTGTCACACACCCATTTTTCTGCAGTGCCTATACAAAAGGGAACTGTGCATAGTAACCAGGACAAGGGGAACAGTTAGCTTATGTGGAGTCACCTATAAGTAAGCCCAGTCAGGATATAAAAGTAAGAGAATAAGAAGTGTTTTTCGTGTAAGGAATATTCAAAGGATAGCTGGCGGAGAGAAGCCAGGAGGAATCTTGGCCTTATATCCTTAAGATCATTGCTTAGTCTTAATTTTTAAGGTAGCAACTTGAAGTAACTTTAGTGTGTTTTGGGAGACTTCTTTTTTCTAAATTTTCTACATAAACATGTATGTATTAGTATTTGTAAAAAATGAAAATTACTTTTAAAATACATGAGCAGGCTTTCCCTATATTAATCTATAACAGTATGTTTTTAGTATATAGTTTTACATTCTTTTTTTAACAGATTTCTCTAAAAGCAAGCACTTCTCTTTTTCCTTCAATCTAGGGACTCTTTCCCGTTCGATCAACAATTTAACATTTTGATGAGATTTATTGTGGATCAAACTCAAACTCCAAACCTGAAGGTCAGTAAGTATTTGTCATTGTAATTCCACCCCTACAACTGAAAGTTGCTTGAAATGTACTTCTAAAAATATGTGATTAATATTTAACTCTTATGAATTGAGCTACTGTGAGCCTTCTGTCCTGCTCTTTGTAGACATGTTCCTATTTCTCCTAGCTGAGGGCCTAATAGAGAGATTGCTGGTTAATTGGGTGGACGTGTATAACTTTCTATGAAACTTCGGAATGATTGTACCCTATTATATTCCTGACAGCAGTGGAGAAGAGCTCCAGTCATTCTATATCTTCACGAATATTTGGACATTATTAGTCTTTTACACAATATTTAAATTAGAAAAAGGACATTCTGATATGTTGAGATTGGTATCTTCATGAAATGTTTCTTCCATATTAATATTTTCTAAGATGTGGGAAATCAGACCTATAATAACAAGGTCTTCTTATTATGCAAGGAAGGGAGGATGTATTGGTCATGTTCATTGTCTGTTCTTTGATCATTAACTTTTGTTGGAGTTATAGATGGACCTAATGAATAATAATCTTTCTTTCCTATGATCAAAACCAATTCAAAGTTGGAGATGTTAGGGCAGAACACAAATGTGATTACTGAAAATGCTACATGATGGGTGATGGCTTAGAATATGGGATGACACAATGACAGTTGAACCTGTCTTCCCTGCAGGGATCGGACTGCCCTTCAAGGATCTTGTAGCGTAGATGAGATGTAGGATGTCACTCTATGAGGAAACATAAATCCAAAACAGGAAGTTTTCCTTTCTCTGATGTTTACTTTTCTCTGACTAGCAGTTAAATGTTCTATTCAAGCTGGGCAGCATGGCTGTAATCCAGTTCCTTGGGAGGCTGGGGCAGGAAGATCATAAGGTTGAAATCAGCCTAGGCAACCCAGTGAGACTGTGTCTTTAAAAAATAGAAACAGACTTCAAAGATTTTGGGGACCGGGGATTTAGCTCAGTGGTTCTGCCACCTGCCTTGCAAGTGCAAGGACCCAAATTCGATCCCTGGTATGAAAAAGACAAAAACAAAAACAAAAACAAAAAAACCTTGTCTACAGACTTCTAAGATTTTTTTGTTTTGTTTTGTTTTTTTGAGACATGGTCTCACTATATGGAGTTGAGACTGATCTGGAACTCACTGTGTAGCCCAGGCTGGTCTTGAACTCACAGCGATCCTCCTGCCTCAGCCTCCTGACAGACTTCAAAGATTTATCCAGAGTATTTAATGATTATAATCATTGGGTCTTTCAGGTCAAAGTTGCAATTCTAAAATACATCGAGTCTTTGGCCAGACAGATGGATCCAACAGATTTTGTAAACTCAAGTGAGACCAGGCTTGCTGTTTCTAGAATCATAACATGGACAACAGAACCAAAGAGTTCAGACGTGAGAAAGGTATGTCCAAGAGAACTACAGCATAATTACAGACTATTCCTAAGCATATATTTTTTTAAAATTCATTTAGAAACTTGCAGAGCACCCCAGCCATTTCTTTTTCCTGTGAAACCCAAGCTTTACTATTGCAACTAATACTTCTCTCTCCCACTCTGCCCATTTCCAGTCTTAGAATGAAAGCTTGATAGGTCCATGGTTTTCTCAGGCATCTCTTTTATATATTTTGTAATATGAAAGCACCAGTAGCTTAGGGTCTGTTACGAGGACCCTGTATTAGTTTGTAACATGTGGTTTGAAGCTAGAATTGCAGATCTGAGGCTAGCTAGATATAGGGTGCCTGATTGTAAAATGTATTTGAAAAGTTTGGTAAGATATAACAGATTCTTGACTTTATGAAGTGCAGAAGAAACACTAATTGTATGGCATACTTGGAATGTTCTTTTTGTAGTTGTTATCTTATTGGCTCAAGGAAAATACTACCCAGCTTTCTTCTGAAATAGAATTGTGAGAGGCACTTAACACAGTAGAGCAGAAGCTTACTCTCTTACTAGGTAATAGTCTGCTTCACAAGTGTGTTATACATTTTAATTAATACCTGTAAATGTTTATTCAGTCCCTGACACACTGCAGGCATGCCACAAGCATGAGTTATTGGGTTGCTGTAGCCATTATTTTCATTCTCTTCCTATCGGTGTAATGGCCTACACTTGGATTTGTCATGTAGCTGTGGTTGATTTTTACTTATTTAAAAACTTTGCCTTTCATATTTTTAAAGCCAGATATCTCAGTTCTTCCTTCAGACCAGAAGTCTTCAGTGTTGGTTATTGGAGTATAATCAAGAGCTTGGCATTGTTTTCTTCTCTAATGTCCTCCCTCCACAGCCATCCCCAGTTCTTTGCCCTTAGGGCAGTTGGAAAATTTGAGTCTAAGCAAGGACAAAAGAAGCATTATCCCAGGCAATAGTGTATACACATTTGTGGAGGATGTATACACATTTTTGCCTACCAAGGTTTCAGTATCTTTCAGTGGCAGGAATCCATAGTTTTTTGGTAATTCCTTGGTTCTTACTTAAGTAGGGACATCTCTGTACAAATTATAGTACAGTTCATCTTACTTAGCAGATGCGTCTCTGCATTCTGGGCACCCTCTGGTTTTTTATTTATTATTTTATCTTTGAAGACTTTCACTTGTTTAGCTTTCTGTTATCAGGACTGACTAGTAAAACCTTATTTGATTCCAATAAGCATGTTCAAATATAGGTTATTTTGCCTCATAAACTACCCAGCCACATACTATACCATAGGGCGTGACATTTTAGTTCTTCTTGGAGATAGATTCACTGTTATTTAAATGCCTTGTTTTAAGGTAGCATCCACTAGACATTTGTAAATATGGTTGCTGTTGTAAGTGGCTGCCTTACACAAAGGTTTTTTAGGCATTGTCTGAATGTATGTAGTGCCTAAGTAAATTCAAATACATAGAAATGATTGACATCATAGCTTACCTCAGTCTTGTCTAAGATCTGAAGTTGTTATTTTAAAACTTTAAAAAGTATAACTGGTATCATTCTGATCTATATGAACGCATGCACTAAAGATAAATATCTGTTGACAGTACTATAAGGTTGTTAATAATACTTTGATGTTTATTTTCAGTGTTTAACAGTAGTATGTTAGTGTTTAACAGTAGGTAGAAATTACCTTCTAACTGGAAGAAGCCTTTTGTCTGAAATCTGTCCAATAAATCCTTATGGACCCAACTCGAGAGGATGTTAATTTTATGCAAATAAAATCTCTGAAGCATTTGCAGTTATTATATCATTATACTGTTTCTTTTCTTTTTGGTTTATTTGAGATAGGGTCTTACTGTTAGTTCGGGCTGGCCTTGAACTCACTATGTAGCCCAGGCTAGCCTCGAATTCCCAGCAACGTCCTGCCTCAGCCTCCCAAATAATGGGATTATAGGTGTGCACCACCATACTCAGCTACTGTTTATTTTCTAAATACTAGAAGAAACCTTCAATCTGAAATCTATACAGTAAACCGTTATGGACCCATCTCTGAGAATATGAGTTTTATGCAGGTAATAGTTGAGTTTGCAGACAACATAATTCAGATCATACTTGTGAAACTATGCTTGAAGCATTTTTGACTCAGATTCACTGACTTCGGCATTTTTAGTAATTTTTTTGTTCCCTTCATAGCTCAGTACTTTAGGATGTTTCACCCTATAGAGGGAAAGCTGTTTTTTAAAGATGTTTAAAAACCAAAACACAAACCATTCACCAATGAGGCATGCTTATAAGAATGAGAGGTTTGGATTCATTTTTTTAAGGGTAGGAGTTCTGAGCAGTTGTATGAGTAAACTCTGCAGAGGTTCATTCAAGTTTTCTCAGTGTATCATGGTGTTTTGATTTAAGATAATAGGATTTATTACCCATAAAAAGAAAGTGGATTCTAGTGCTTGGCTTTCCTTTGACTTCTGAGTTTGTGTGTGAGCAAGTCATTTAATCTCCAGCCTTTGTTATCTGCAAAGTGAGAATCATACTGCTTTCCCAGTAGTATTACAATTATAGTAAAGTGTATCAAAGTATAAATAAATAGGGTTTAATATGCTATTGTAGCTCCTCTCACTGTTGACAGGGTTTTGTTGTTACTATTGTTACTTATGAAACAACTGAAGTACCGGAGTTTTTTTGGGAACTGTATGATCTATCAAAGGAAATGCAGTAAAGGCAGTGTAAATTTTAATTGTATGTTTATATTTAGGATTCAGAATGCCTCTGTGTTTGCTTGTCTTCTGTTTTGCTGTACATTCAGTGGGTTGGCAGGAATCTTTCATAGTTATTTGGTAATTCTGTAGCCCTCAAATGTCATTTTAAGACATGTGGGAATGGTGGCACAGCAGAGAAACCTAGGAAGTAAAGCAGTGCTGTTGGCTAGAGCAGGGAAATATACAAATGGCCTGAAAAGTGTGAAATTTCTACATTTTTTAAAAGTCTCTAATTCTAGGGGCAGTATGGTCTAAACTAAAAGTTAAGTACTCCATCACCAAATGTGATTTGACTCTGATCTATGACTGCAGTCCCTTTCCAGGCCCATCTGATTGTCTGATCGTGTAGAGCAGGAATATTCTTGCTTCCAGGGAGGGCTGTAATGACTGAGTACAGGGCCTAGCAAATGATTGAGAGTTCTCGGGTTCTTATCCTGCCTTTTGATTTTATGTACCTTAGTGATTTTGTATAAGAAGCCATATACTCTTTCAGCTAACAGGCAGCGTTGGCCTTGGCTAAGCGCTCCCTGCTTCTCTCTGACCCAGTCCTCCCCTCTCCTGTTGCCAGTCCCCGCTTCAGCGTAGTCGTGTAGGTGAGGATGTCCCCACTAGGTCAGCTCCCACCTGCTCTGGGCCTGGAGGAGGAAACTTGGAAGAAAATTGTAAACAGGTAGATTGGAAACTGTCTATTAATTTCAAACAATATACCTCACCATTTGCATTGTGTATTATTAATACCAGTTACCCTTTGGAAGACACTGGCAAGAATTTGAAGAGACCTGGAATTAGTATAATATTGTGTGAGCATGTGTGTGCCTGCGTCAGTGTTGGTGTTATGGCATGTTTCATGATGACCCACCTTCCAGTGGAGTAGTCATGTTGAGTATAGCTCTCTTCCATGTTTTCATGGAAGAGTGAAAAGGAGAGATGTCTGAAGGTTTGAAAACACCTTCTGTTTGGTGATTCTTTGAAGCAATTTTAACAGCAGCCTCTGAATGGAGTAGTAAAACTTGTTTAGTAAATTAGAAAACTCTTTGACTTTCCTTCCAAATTAACATCAACACTGAAGCGTTTGTCAGAGCTGTAATAACATTTCTGTTTTCTGGGAAGAATTTCCTTGTACTGAAAGGTTTGCAGTATTCAAGGCTATTGCTGGCCCTGTGAGATCTTGTCAGACAGTACCTGTGACATTTTGAGAACTTTTTATTCTACTCTCCCACCCTCAAATTCTTCTATTAGGGTGTAAAAATAATTCCTTTTTTAATTCATCCAGTTGCCATTTGACCCTTAATTTCCCCTAGAGTTGTTCCCTTAGAAAAAGTCAGGGGCACTCTGAAGTTCTTGTCTGGCTGGAGCATGCCTGGATGCTCTGGCAGGGGCATGCCTGGATGGAGACAATATCACAGAGTTACAGACTGTGCGGTGGCATACTCTGTACTTTGAGTCATTAGTGAGCATAACCTGTTCCCCAGGCTTTCAGAAATACATCTCTCCAAACAGCTTCATATTGGGAATTCTGTTAATGAGATCATACTGGTGGTAATGATAGCTATAACCCAGCTTTCCTCTTTGCTCAGAATCTTGGGTTTTGATTTCTCATTAACTAAGAGGGTATTGGATAAGATAAGATGTTTTAGAACCATAACAGTCTAATACCTTGTGAAGCTCTAGTGTAAAATACTTTAAGAACATGCTTAAATGAAACTTTGAGTTTCTGGAGACTCGATCTCATTAGGAGAATATTTTACTTTGAAAGCAGTTTAAGGCCAAAGAGTAAACCTGAAAAACTTTGTAAGATTACTTATGCTTTATATTTTGGAAAATGTAAAAACATCACATATATGTGTAAAATACACATATGCACGCACACACAAATACAAACACATCTGTCTACCTAGTTACAGATTCAGAATTCCATGTGTTTTTGTTTGATCTGTTTAAATTTAAAGTCAACTTTGAGATTTTTTAGAAAAAGCTGTGGAGTGCATTTTCCTCTCCCCTGTGAGTATGTGGCATTAATGTTATGTACTCATGATTGCACCATTTCCAGCTCTGCTGTCTTGCAGCCCTCCTCTTCCTAAAAGATTCTACTGATTTGTTTATAATTGGCTTTATGAAAAACCTCAGGTTAATTTACAGCATTAGGTAACATCATTCTGAGAATAAATATGGCCTCTTAAAGACAGTGGCACATTACACACAAAAATATACTGATCAAGAATGCAGTGGTAAATTTCATAATTTCCAGATACCAATCCACAGAACCTAAGTGCCTATCCTTTCTTATTACATTGACAACATGGATGTTTTACCCTGCTAACATGCCAGTCTGCTGCTTTCTTTTGCAGTGCAGTTTTTCTTGCATGTGTGTTTTTTTTTCTAATATCTAATGACTTTTTAAACACATAGGTTTCTTTGCATGCTTTTTTGGAATATGTTATATTATACAGTAATACAAACCATGTTGATAGTACATTAAATTGGTTGTGAAATAGAATCCTTTAGATGATTTATTAAAAATGTTTAATAAGTAAATACAGAAAAATATGTTAATGCAATCAGTGATAGTGCTTTTGCCTGTGTGATGAAAGAATGCTAGCCACTTGTGATTTAATTTGGGTGGAAAGGCTATTATTGACTATATTTGGAGAGCAAGGAAAAAATAATGTGCTTTTGCCCAGTGCTTTGCTTTATAGAATGCTCTTCAAATGTTGTTAATTTTTAATTCCATAAAAACAGTAGTATACCGATACTTTTCAGTTTGGGTCTTTGAGGTTTGTTTTTTGTTTTTTTTTTTCCCTTCTCCAGGCACTAAAATAGTATATTTGTTTTACTAGGCCTAGAATTTATTTTAACATTGTAAAAGTATTCAGATGTTTTCTGACATTTATTTTCAAAGAAATTCTCAGCAAGCACATTTTTATGTAATATTTCCATGTCATGGAAAAAATATTTCAAGTAATTATTGCAAACCTAAAAATTAGTCTGAATAGACTATGCTTCCAGTAAAAATGAAAAAGAAATGATTGTATTCAGTTTTTTAATGTCTTTGCCTTTCTCTTAACTTTGAGAAATTAATAAGAAACGCCAATTGGATGGGATTGGGCGTGTTCAGGGTGGTGTGGCCGTAGACAGAGATGCCAACTGGTATTTACTAAAATTGTATTTTGGCTTAGCTCCTATAAATCAAAACCCTTGTACAGTAATTAATTCCGCAGGCATTGCTTTTTAAGCAAAGATTGCCTTCTCTTAAGGCAGTGGTGTAGCAAGCACATTGCCTTCTGGAAAGCCTCGTTTCACTTGGCCACCCTTCTTTCAGCTGATTGCTTTCCCCACCTGCTGCCACCCTCACAAGTACTCATGCAGTGTGTTGTCTCAGTTAGAAAAGAGGGTAGAAGGAGAAGTTTTTAATGTATACCATCTGATGGCCAGTTTGCTTCCCACAAGTCTGTCTCAGTTTGTTGGCATAAAAGTAGGAAGGTGCCATCAAAGTTGGATGGTATAGTTAAACTTTAATTTTTGAGTATTTTTCAGTTGAGAAGAGTGAAGTTGAGGTAAAGAAGTGTCTTGGGAGCTTGAACAGAAACTTCTTTCCAGGCTGCCCTGGGAACCCTATCCAGTTCTGACTTCTTAGAGTACCAACAATCTTAAGCTTCTTACATTTTTTTTTTAACTGATTTATCAACTTTTACTGCCAAACAAGGGAACGTTACAGGAATTTATTAATGTGCTATGGAAATCCAGAGCTACAGCATTAAAATGGATCCAGGTTTGTTTTTCAGAATGAAATTAGACTATTTGTAGCTCATGGTATTTTCCCCAGATTTTACTTATTTAAAAAGGTTTTCTTTTAAAAACTATGTTCATGAACATTTTCACCAAAATGTGTTCCTATGTATATCATATAAATTAATCACAGTTTCTTTTTCCAGGCAGCACAGATTGTGCTGATCTCTCTGTTTGAATTGAACACTCCTGAATTTACCATGTTACTTGGTGCCTTGCCGAAAACATTTCAGGATGGTGCCACCAAACTTCTGCATAACCACCTCAAGAACTCTAGTAACACCAGTGTGGTGAGTTTGAGTTCATGCTGATGGTGACCTCAGTGTGACCCTTATTTAGACTCTGACTAATAGGCCAGCCAGCTATCTTGTCCTAACAGCATTCCCATGGGTAAATGAGCCTGGTATTTTATATGGCCTTTTTTGTACAGTAGGTTGTTCAGTCAGTTAAATTTTTACTAATATTTTGTCATTATTCACTCATCATCGAGTCTGTTTTTTTAATACTCTAAATATTCAAATATCAATGTACATAGCATGGCTGACATTGTTTTTCAACTAGGAATGTTTGTGTGATGTCCACGTTTGATTTACATGCTCTTAAACTGGACCTTATGATTCCAAAGAGGGAGAAATGAAAAGCCATTGTGGGCAGAGTTTGCCCATTTGTCTACATGTGGGATAAAAGACCCAGGGAAGAGGGGGGTTGTATTCTGTAGAAAACTCTTAAATGACTGCTCTGCCTTTGCCCCAGGGATCTCCAAGCAATACAATTGGCCGAACACCCTCCCGACACCCCAGCAGCAGGACTAGCCCTCTGACCTCACCCACCAACTGTTCCCATGGCGGGCTATCTCCAAGGTAAGCTCGCTTCTACAGAAATGTAGAAACTGAAGCTTCCCAATGTGCAGCCTATTTCTAGATTTTTAGACTCTGCTTGTTACCAGTGAGTAATATGGCTTCTAGTCCTCACTCCAGTTATATCTGTCATCTTGGGCAAAAGGATTAATTCGTATAGTAAAGTGAAGCAGTGTGTGCTTAGTTTCCTCTGTGTTTCTATTTCTAAACACTCTCTAGTATCTTCTAAGTTTCAAAATGAGATGTCACATTTTGCATAAAGCCCATGAGAGAACTCATCTGTTCTCCAAACGATGGGAAAACCTGAAGGTATTTGTTTAATCATCTGCTAAACTCTTTATAGTGAGTCTGCACCAAGTCTTGAGTAATTCTCCAACCAGGTGGCCATTCCAAGTATAGCAGCTCTTACATTTGATACAAAATTCTGCTTTTGAGGTCTGTGATTTAGAATGTCAGGATTAAATTAGATTAGCATATTCAGACTCTTTTGACCATGCATCATTGACCTTAATCTGGGCAGTGACCTCGGACGAGAAAATGCTAGCTGGATGGTGTATTCAACAGGATTGGGTGAGGGAATATATTAAATACAGGACACATAATTTATAAGGTTATTTTTTGATAATTACCCAAAGAGTCAAATGCAAAGAGTGCAAGAGATTAACCACACACTAGAAGCCCAAAATATTCAGCTGAGGTCCTGGATCCCAGCAGTTTCCCACACAAGTCCAGCTAAAGGCTTAGAGTCCTAAGCAGTGTCCTCCTCAAGTCCAGCCAGTGGCCTAGAGTATAGTGATGCCTCATGCTTGTCCACTGAGGATCTGCACCTGGAAGGCCCAAGGCCAATGATGGAAGTCAGAAAAATCTATGTTTATGAGATGAAGGATCTGTGCCACCACGCTGAGGGATCCACGGTGGAGCCAGGAAGTGATGCTCATGGTAAAGGTCAGAGCTCCTCTGATAAAAGCAGCAGCCCATTCTCAGCAACAGCGAGGTTTTGAGCGCCTCTTCCGAGGGGAACAGCCTAATTCGCATCAGGAAAACCATCTGCAACAAGCTTCTCCTAGAAAATCAACAGGCCGAGATCTTCCCCTCCAGTTCTCTTTTTATGCTATTGGTAACAATCTTTAGGTGGATCCTCCACGCCCAGACCACACTGATTCAGTTCAGCTGGGTGTTACAAGTTGACCATTAGTCAGTCCTCTACACCAGGTGTGCTGGCACATGCCTGTAATCCCAGTACTTGGGAGGCTGAGGCAGGAGGATAGCTAGGAGTTAAAGGCCAGCCAGAACTACATAGCAAGGCCCTGTCTCAAAATATAAGAGAAAATGCTTTGTCTCAGGTGGTGCTCTAGAATAGCCCTCCTCCCTCCAGTCAAAGTCTTTAGAGTCTGCATAGTGACTCCCTCGCCGGAGTGGAGTTCCTCCCAGCCTGGTTTCTGGAGTAGTGGCCAGAATAGGCTGTGTTTTGTCTACAAGGAGTCCCAGATCTTTGGGCTTACTAATAATGACAACCAGGAAGTTTTGTCCTGTGGGTGACTGACACTAAGCTTCTAAAATGAAATGAAAATATTCCAGGAAAGCCATGTTCCCTTTAAGGGTTAACCTTTTTAGTATGAAGATAATAAAACATAAGTGCCTTTAAATTTAGGTTTTCTGTCTGGAGTCTCATTCCTCCTTACCACCAAGTTCTGTAAGGTTCTTTATTTATCCTGAATGTATTTTGGAACATACCAAATATATTATACCTTATATTTTTCTCTTAGTGAAACAAAGTATTTTATAAGATACCTGTGGTATCTTACTGTTTCTGCTGCCTTGTGTGCAGTTGGACAGATGCCCCCCTGTCCCTTGAGTATAGTGAAGTATAATGCTATGTCTCCAGATTTGGTCTGTGTTGCCAGTGATTTCAGCAGGCTATTTTAAGTAGGAATGGAGACCAGAAATCACTAAAACTGGGTCTGACCAGCCCCACAGGTGACTAGGCTTTGGCCAACTTTTTTTTTTAAATGCTAAAGTTTATATTTAAAGTATATGGTTTGTCTTAAATGACCAGGATCCGGTGAAGATTACAAAATTTTAAGGAAAACTGATATTCTCTCGAGCTTGTTGCCTTTGTCTGGATGGGGTATTCCTGCATTATTAACCAGGAAATTGATTCTTCCATGCACAGATCATACATCTTTTAGTTTTTGTATTGGCTGACACATTTTTTAGGTAATAAGCAAAAAGTATTTTATTCTGTGTGGTATTTAAAAAACTGATAGAGGCTGCTAGCAGATTTTGTCCATCAAAGAACTGGCTAGAAATTAATCTTTATAGATTCTCCAAATTGTTAAAAATTTTAATTTATTTTTCCTGGTCACTATTCCTTCTTAATTAGCCTCATCTTAATTTTTACTCTTAGGGTTACAGGTCAGAAGAGATTTACTTTCAGTATTAGAAAATCCAAGTGTGGATTACATATTTTCTTACAGACACAATCTTCTTTAGGAAATTATTTCATTATGTTGGTTCTTTGTTAGAAAAAAAAAAATACCCACTTTCAGTGGTGAATAACCTTACTCAATTTTAGCTCAATAAGAGAAATGATTTTTCACACCCGAAAAACTGTTCAGTAGTGGGGAAAAGTGCCTTGCGTTGTCACGTCACTGTAAGCACACAGAGGATGTGCTTCCTAACAGTAAAGTTGTTAGAGAAATGAATTCTTACTCTCGGTTGGAAACATTTACCACATTCTAAAGAGGTAACAAGTCTGCAGTACAGTCTCAGCACTTTTTCTGAGTTTTTTTTGAGATATGATCATAAAATAATAGCTTTTTATTTGGGGGGCAAGGGCACGGGGAATCAAACTTGGGTCCTTGCACTTGCAAGGCAGGCGACAGAACCACTGAGCTAAATCCCCAACTAACCTTTTATTCTTTAGAGGGAACGTTATTACCAATTACTTGTTTTTAAATGAGTTTTGAGTATCAAAGTGAGTAAGATTTTGTTTTTGTTCACATATTCTGCATTTGGATCACGGTAATAATAATGAATTATTCCCAAATGGCAACTATAAATCTTCACTGGATAGATTTTGTTTTTTTAAAAAATCACTAATGAGGAAGTCATTTTTTATGAACACAATAGTCAAAGATGTCAGTGTGACAACTCATTAATCATTTCTATGTGAGAGAAGAATGCCTGCCTGTTAACAACTAATAAACAAGTACTACTTTATGTAGAGATAGATTTATAAACTAGAGTTCTTTCATTATTGAGCACATATTTATGTTGTAGCCCATTTTACCCAATAATTTTAAAATAAATGAAAAACAAAGTTTTGGGCAATTTCAGAAATTATCTGAAGTTCATTTCCATTGAGAAAGCAAAGTAGCTTGGGGGTCTTTGCAGTCCGCCTTACACTCCTGGCAAACATGTTGCTGAGCAGAATGGCACTACCTCGCGTACCACTGAATCCCCTGGCAACAGAAAGTAGTCTAAGGCAGACTTCACATGCCTTCCATCAGAAAGCCAGTCCTGTAAGCCCAGCACTCAGGAAGCGGAGACAGGAGTATCACCACAAGATCGAGATCAGCCCGGGCTACATAGTAAGTTCAAGGCCAGCCTGGAATACATAACAAGAATGAAAATGAAGTACATTTCTTCCATCAGTGACTCCAGAGTGTGCAGAACCAAAGCAGGAGTTAATGAAGAACCACAGTCAGCTTGTGGGTGTGTCTGCTTGTTCCTCACCCATCAGCACATCCCCAGCTTGGGGTGTCGCTGCCCTCCCTTGAGTCCCCACTCTAACCCAGTGTGTGACTGGAGAGAGAGAGTCTTTAGGTCCTCTGTGCTGCAGTGACCCCTCGTCTTGTTTCCTTATGAAATGGTGGTGCCACCATGCTGGGGATGGGGAGTAGCCACACACAGAAGCACCCACTCTTACAGCTCACTGGGGCAGCAGGGCTGCTCCCTAGGAGCTCAGACGATGCTGAGGACTCTGCCCCAGGTTCTCATGCGATTCTGTAGCCGTTTCAGCCCCTGCTTCCCAGTCTGTTTCTGTCCTTCTGAACACAGCAGTATTAAGAGCTTTCTGTTCCGGACCCAACATGCCTGGCTCAGCTAGTGCCATTTGTGGGATGAAGACAAGCACTCTCATGTCTGGGTGAACATCAGTGATCGTATCAGGTGCTCTAAGTAGAGGCCCCTCCCCAACGTGGACCAGCGGACACTTGCTGCCCCGGCCCGGCAGTGGTGAAGAACATTGCTAGTCTCTGGACACAGCCTCACTGGGCCTCAGCTCAGAGAGCGCCCCAACCACACCAGGGTCCTCTGGTTAGCACGGTGTGGTCTCGTTAATCTTCCTGCTCCTGTCCCTCTTCCTTTTAAGTTGAGGCCCCCTTGCCTTCTTTGCAGAACAACTAAAGAACTAGCTGAACCAGAATATCGAGGCTTCTTGCATGTAAGTGCTTATAACATCCTTCTTGACGCAGGCAGGTGGGCAGACACACAGGTGTCCCACACGCACCCTCATGCTCACTCCTAGACACACTAGCAGTCTCACATGGTTTTTAAGTGGTAAATGCAGCCCATGGTTGAGAGAGAAAAGAATGAAGCAGTCTCATTGAGGACCAAACTGTAAAATGAAATGTGTTCTTTTTCTCTGTGTGGTGAAGTGCTAATTTTGCTCCGGTTAATTTTGATAGAACTTTGTCAAGGACAGAGGAGATTCGAAGACACTTAGAGCACAGCGTCTTCCTCCTCCCCTTCCCTTTGCCTGCTGTGTTTCTGTCTCTGATTTTCCTCTTCTGATCACTGCAGTCGGTTGTGGGGTTGGAGTGCCGATGGGTTATCGAAGCACCCACCTCCCTTTTCTCAGCCTAACTCCATTCCCACCGCTCCCTCCCACAAGACTCTCAGGCGCTCTTACTCTCCCAGGTAACAAGCTACCTGTCTCCCTTGTCTGAGGTGTCACAATATTATTATATTTCCAAGGTCGTCTCAGGTCTCTGGGAAAGCCTCTCAGCTCCTCCAGTGTGGTCCCTGCCTCAGCTTACCCTCACAGGAGTAGAGCCTTGGTGAGAAGTGTGAGCCACTGCTTAATCTTGCCTGAATCTTATGAGCCCAGCTGCTGTTGCGTCACAGGGACAATGACCCTTTCATTCTCTGACCAGACTCATCTCCACCTGCTCTCGTGGGCCTTTGGCCCAGTGCAGCGCTGAGCTTCCACAAGGAGCTTGGCAACTGTGAGAACATGGCAGGTGACAGTGGGAGTGGTCTCCTTAGCATGCTCCTCAGGTGCAGAGACAGTCCACTAAGGGGAGGTGACACCATGCTGTCCTGAGTGCACACACTGCTGGCAGTCCTGCTGGTGCTGTATCATTTCCTTCCTTACATACTGTCACTGACAATAGTGTGCACATGCAGATCAGGCAGGAAGTGTGACAGGTAGGAGCGCTGTTGCACTCGAGAGAGCTGCCCTACCTCCAGAAGGAGAGCTTTGTGTCTCCTCAAAAGTCCCTGCTGTTGGTGCTGCGCGAGGCTCGCTGACACTGGTCACTGTGGTACGGTTTAGATCCTGCAGGGCCTATTTAAGCTCTCTTGGGGGCATAGAGCCCCGTAATTACATGAGCAGAGTGCTGGGCAGTCCAGCCGTCCTGAACTTTCTAAGAGGATTTCGTGTTCTCTGTGATAGGCTAGGGCCAAAAGCAGAACAGTCTTTTTTTACCTTGGAAATGCTTCATAGATAGATTTTGCACTCAAGATTTATATTCCTACTTTTGTATCCTACGAAGCTGAAAACACTAAACAAATCAGCTGGATACTTTAACATCTTCCTTTTGAAGTTAGTATAGCTCCAAAAGTTACTTCCAAAGTACACAGAGAACTCTGGTGAATGTTTCTGGATACACAAAGTTAGGGCAAGCAGATGAGAATGCTGCTGTCTTTAGTGTTAACAAAGCATGGCAGGGTTTTTTTGGTGTTTTCATTTTTTTTTTTTCCCCTTCACTACTGAGGATTGAACCCAGGGCCTTTACACTAGGCTACATCTCTAGCCCTTTTTTATTTTTTACTTTGAGACAGTCTTACTAAGTCACTCACTAAGTTGGCAAGCTGGGCTCAAACTTGTAATCCTCCTGCCTCATCTTCTAGAGTGCTAGGATTACACATGTGTGCTACCATGCCTGGCACTATTTTTGCTTAAGGTTAACCTTGCCTCAGATTGCAGATCAGTTTCCTGACTACAAATCTCAAAACATACGCATTTCCTTACCCAACTTCACACACACCACACCTCACCCCCACTGGTCTCCCCACCTGGTCATAATCCTGCTCTCCAGAGGACAATGCAGCTGAGATTCCCAGAATCCTCTTTCCCATAGCACCTAGGAACAATGTTGAGCTGACTCATTAGTGGATAATACTTCATATGTACTCACAGCTCTGCTGAGCCTCAGAGGGAGAGAGCTGATTAGAGACTTTATTTTGAGGAAACTAGGAGGGAATCTATGTTTGTTTCATTGATTTCATAACAGAACCTATTTCATACCAGTGTCCTTTTACTACACAACGAAAAGCGAGCCTCAGAACACTGTCTTCCTCTCCCCAGTCTCTTTGGACACACCCACCATCCTGTTCTCTGTGTGGAAGGCCCAGGGTTGAATTCGGCGATAGCACTGAGTGACCCCTGACCTTGGGTCAGTGACTGTTGACTGATTCAGTAACTCTCTCTAATTTAAAGAACCCTAAGGAAGCCCTCTGGGATCTAATCAGGGTGTTTACAGGAGATCAGGACCTGGCCTTTACCCTCAAAGATAATGTCCCAAGATTGTTGAGAGCTGGAATGAGTCAGGCTGTGGTGTAGGAGGCAGGAGGAGGGTTACCTAACGGAGCCTCCTCCCAGTTAGCTGCTGGCTCCTTCCTCCTGCTCCCGTTCACTGCTCATCAGGACACAAGACAGCATGTGTGGCCACTCCCTGGTGAGGACATCCACGGAAGGTTCCTCTTTCCCGCTAAAGGGAACGCTCACAGGTGCTTTGAAAAAAAGACAAACAGCCAGAACTTAGAAACAGCAAAGATAGTCACTATCCATTTCCTGTTAGAGAAACAGTTATGTCTCTCACCTGGAGCTTGTAATTGCAGCTTCATACTAAGGAGATACTTCAGAGCTCACATTCATGATCCTACAAGGAGGCACCTCCGGTTTTCTGCATACACGTGCTGCTCCTGATCTGGAAGCTGGAACTGGTTTATCCATTAAAACTGAGGAGGAATATCAACAAGCAGAATCCTTTATTTTACCTTCAAAAGAGGCTATTATAATGATAAAGTTAATTGAACTGAAATATTTTTAGAAAGTTCAGGTTGATAATCATTAGATGAATTATCTGAAAGTCAACATTCTCTGAAGCGACACATGGAAAATAATATTGTGACATCCCTTAAACTGAACGTTCTGCTAGACCGCCTCTCATCCATCCATCATTCTTTCACGTTTTTGGTTTCCTTTTTCTTTTGCATGGACTATACTGTTATTTTTAGTTGTCATGATTCAAAGTATTTGAGGCTTTTTTTTTTTTTCACATCTTACATTTTTTGTTTGTTTGTTTGTTTGAGTCATACTGCTCAGTTTTTATATAAAAGAAGAATATGCTGGCCAGTTGTATAAATGTCTTTGTTCCAACATAGGCTGCTATTGCTATGTTCCTAGGAAAGAGGGGCAGGGCACCTCTGCTCCCCAGCCATGCTTTCTGCACATCCAGGGATGTTGCCTTAGACATGGCCTTGTGACCTGAAAGGAGGTTGAAATCTTGAATTTTGTTGAAGCTTATTATTCTGCCTCCTGTCAGTATATACGTGGAATTTCAGCAGCACGTGAACTCAGGGTTCACATTTCTTTTTGTTTGGTGTCAGAGCCAGTCTTTGAGTTGGCGTATGTTTTTGTGAAATCTCTCTGAATATAGTTGGGGGTGTGTGCTTTCATCCATTCATCAGGAAAGAATGATTCTGCCTGGGCTAGTTTTGTAATCTTAGGCAAAGAGCTTCCACCTCTAAGAGTGAGTTCAGGTCTTTGGTGCCTGCAGAACTGAGTCAGCCTTAGAAGACACTTAGATTGCCCCTTCCACCCAGTAGAGATCTGGTCACTCCAAATAACACCTCTCCAAATCATCTGCCCAAACATTTTCTTTCTTTCTTCTGTTTTTCTGGGTAAAGAGACAGGTTTAGTAAGTGTTAGTTGTTTTTAAGTTATAGGAAACTTGCCTGTAGTGCAGAGCACGGGTTTTGGTTGGTGCCCTTAGAAAGGGTTCCGGCCAGTGAGTGCTTAGTCTTTCAGTTGTTACTCCTGTGAAGGGCAGAAAATGTGCTTTTCTTTAATTCTTAATACTGCTGAATCCTTACTTGCACACGGCCGGTGATTCCTTGAGCAGTCCTCTGTCGTTCAGGACTTTCTGCACCTTACATTAGGCTGGCTCAGCCGATCTTTTCTTGAACACTTTCTTGAAACAAATGACATATAAACCAAGTTATGTGTATTTTGTCCTTAGTTGACTGCTACCTCATGCTTTGCTTCCTTTTTTCTGATATCCATCCCATGCTTTTGATTTTCTCAGTGAGGGACAGTGATGGCTTTCATTCTCAGGTCCAGTGGTTTGGTACATGTTTCAGCCTATAAAGGGCACTGGTTGACAAACCACATTACATGAGAGGGCTTTTCAGGATAGTTGCTTTATTTTGTGTTTTGCTTAATGTCTCAAAGGACAGTACCTGACATCCCTTTTCCATAAGGGACAAATATTTCTTGCTGTTAGAAGTGTTTTTAGATGTCCATCCAGGAATGCGGCTCTCTTTATAAGATTTGCTTTTATAAAGCTCCAGATGAAAGCTTCTAGAAGAGTTCAGTATTCACATCAGGGTCCTGGTTGAATACCATGAGACTCCCAGGAGTCCTAGGGTGGATCTACGCTTGAATCATAGAGCTGTTGTGGTTTCATATTTTAAAACAGGGCCCTAGTTTGCTGGAGTGGATCCTGGCACATACCTCCTAGCTTTGCGAAGTTGTTTGCTTTGCTTCTCAGAAATGTGTTGGTAATGCAAGTTTTATTTCTAAGTGCCTGTTCCTCTTAATTTAGGTTTGTACATTTGAGAATAGTAACAACCTAACTACTTTTTTTTCCATCTTCAGAAAAAGAAAATTATTTTTCCACTTTCATTACCTCATGCATTCACTCACCAATTGTCACACTTTTGAGTTTTTACATTCTTGTGATTATTGTTTCCCACTGGTTCTTGGGTACTGATATAAAATGTTTGGGTCACTTTTGACCAGGAAGGTGTACAATTGTTCACTGGTGGTACTGTAAGGAAAAAATGTCTCTTTTTTATTCCAAATCACCAAAAAAATAAAAAACCCCAAAATAACCTCAAAAGTATAATTACAGCTCACTCTGTAAATTGCTAAGTAACATGTTGCCAGTATCGTGATTTTATGCATATACCTCACCTTAAGAAATAATTATTTTTTATCTTTAGCATGCTGGACTATGACACAGAGAATCTAAACTCTGAAGAAATCTATAGTTCTCTGCGTGGAGTTACAGAAGCCATTGAAAAGTTTAGTTTCCGAAGCCAGGAGGATTTGAATGAGCCAATTAAACGAGATGGCAAAAAGGATTTTGATATTGTAAGTATCCTCAGGCTACTAGAGAACTAAAGATCAATTAACTGATTGTTACTGAGTCTTCTGAACATTGATCATGGTGGTAACGGAGGTTCATCACCATTTTGGTCCTTTTATTGGAACAGTTATTTTTAGAGGCCAAAGGTAATTTTACAAAATTTTAAGAGTAATCTTAGTTTGTTTTCATTTATCGTGGAAATGTTTTTGTTTCTATGATGTGATAAAAATGATGATCCTGAACCAGACAACCATTTGGGCTCCCTGAGGAGAGTCTCATGGGAAAGGCAGGTACCTGAGTATGAAGTGTGGTTGGGGCTCACACCTGTGCGCCTGCAGCCAGGTTTGGTGTTCAGGAAGGATGAGCTGTAGTGATGGTGTTACCCTCTGAGCAGCAGTCTGAATAAAGGTCAAGAGTCTTGTCAAATGAAGATCTCTGGCCCTCCTAATATTTCTCAGAGCTCGGAAATGAGCAGAGAAAAAAAAAGCCATGTTCAAAGTCTCCAAAGGGAACTGACCATGTCCTGTGCTCCAGGTATCTCGGGATGGAGGAGCTGCATCCCCAGCCACCGAGGGCCGGGGCGGCAGTGAAGTGGAAGGAGGCAGGACTGCTCTGGACAACAAGACCTCTCTCCTCAACACCCAGCCTCCACGTGCCTTCCCGGGGCCTCGAGCACGTGACTATAACCCCTACCCATACTCAGACACCATCAACACCTACGACAAGACAGCCCTGAAAGAGGCCATGTTTGATGATGAGATGGAGCAACTTCGGGATGGTTTGTGTGTTTGGCTGTCCAGCGGGGCCTTTAGCGTGCTTCCCTCTGGTTAAACCAACTCTGAGCAAGCTAGCTAAACAGAATTGCTGGGACTGTTCTGAGTAGTTATTTGTCCAGAAACTCCCTGTGGCATCCCTGCTGGATGCTCAGGAATGGGAGGCCCCAGCAGTGATAGCCCAGGCAGCTGCTGTCTCCTGTGTGCCTGTAGTCTGGTTATGGAGGCAGGAGGGAAGGTGCACAAGGACCTGGCCTGAGTGGAGTTGGGTGGGAGTTGGCAGTGCACACAGGGGCCTGGGGTGTCCTGGCACAGCATTCTGACCAGCTCTTCCTGGGCTGTGCTCCGCTGACTATGGTGCTATAGCTGGGAGGGAAGGAATCTGGCATCACTTGCCCTACCATGTGCTTGGTGCTGAGCCGAATGTCATGCATACATTATCATGGACATGGAGGAAATTGCTTCCATTTTACAGGCTACGAAACTAAGGATCAGGGCTGGGGGATTTAGTTCAGTGGTTCCACCGCCTGCCTCGCAAGGCAAGGTCCTGAGTTTGATCCCCGCTACCAAAAAAGAAATCAGAAAGGTTAAGTATTTGTCCAAAATATACCATAGGTGGTACAGAGTGGATCTAGTGTGGATTCCTGTGGTAAGACTAGTGTCCAGGGCCTAGGAGTACAGCCCAGTGGTAGAGCACATATTTAGCAAGCATCAGGCCCTAGATTCAACCCCCAGCACCAAAAAAATAAGATATACTGTTAGTCATTAAGTAACCAGTGAATAAGTATATATTGGTTTGATGGTTTTTTGACCTGGAGCTTATTTTTATCTTTTTTATCTTAGTTGTGTTTACTTATTTTGTATTACCTTATTTTTTGTATTACAGTTATTTTTTTTATTACATATCTTTTGTTTTGAAGGCTGGTTTGTTTTTGAGGCTTGAACAAAGATTTAAGTTAGAAACCTTAATTAGAACTGTTTGTTTATTTATTTTTGTGGTACTGGGGATCGAACTCAGACCTTACACTTGAGAGGTAGGTGAGGCGCCACTGAACTAAATCCCCAGCCCTAGAACTGTAAACAGTTACATTCACTCAGTGCCTTCTGAACATCATAAAGTGTGTAGGATGTCAGGCTGGGAGGAGAACAAGATTCAGTCCCTGGCCCCGGGGATAACAGGTTCGTAATGACCACCCTTCTGTGATACAAGGGCTGGGTGAAAGCATACACCAGATTCAAGACCACAGAGGATAAAAGTCCTCCAGTTGGCCACAGAAGAAGTGGCCCTGGGGGCTTAAAAGCATAGTGTCATGGCTGTGAACTGTTCACAGCTGGTGGGCGGCAACTCAGTGTGTGCCTCAATGTCTGTTCCCTGGGCAGAAGGTAAAGATAGAGGGTGTTTGTTACGACTTTTGCTTTCTGGGAGAAGTGGACTAGTTTTTCCATTGCTTCTAGAATTGGCACTGTTTTGCCTGTCCATTATCAATCTTGATTAAGGTCAAACAGGGATTCCAGTGTCAGTTTTAATTTATCCACCAACTGGGCACTGAAATGCTAAAAGAGAAAAGTAGTGCAGCAGAATGGCATGGTTCCTAACGATTCGGACTTCCTTGGTATTTGCTCCCTAATCTCGGAAGCTAAAGAAATATGCAGATACACATTGAAGTAGCACTTAATGATTTAATTTTTTTCATAATCCCTATATGAAGTTAAATATGCAGAGTTAAGTTCTCATAAACGAATGTGTGAAGAGAAAGGATGTGCCCTCCTGCCATACATAGTCCAAGTCCCAGGAGCTGTGCTGAGTGGTCTTAGACCAGTGCCACCATCTTCAAATGGGCAGTGTCTGAATAGTCCAGTCACTTTTTTGGGGGAAGGTTAGGGAATGGTACTGGGTGTTGAAATCAGGGCCTTTGCATTGAGCTATTTTCCCCAGCCCATTTTTTATCTTGAAGCAAGATCTTGCTGAGTTGTCCAGGCTAGGCTTGAATCCGAGGTCTTCCTGCCTTGGCTTCCCAGGTGCTGGTTGTGCTTATAGGCATGTGCCACCGTGCCCAGCTAGTCCAGACACCTTAATTGATTTTTGTTCATGCTGCTCATTTCTGAGCTCTGGGCATTGGAGAAGGGATTGGATATTCAGGAGAGGCGATAGTAGGTGAGCCTTGAGCGAGTGAACGTATTGATTAGAGCTGTCCCAATGAAAGGTTTGACTCAGGACTCTGAGTGAAACAGAGTTTGGAAAGATGGGCAGGAGGGGTACCTGCCTTTTCCCCTTGTGCGAAATAGAAGGGAAGAGGAGGAAACGAAGGGCATGGACACAGTATTGGCCCTGGGTAGCTGGTCTTGCCCTCTGTCCTCACAGTTAATGCAGTAAGATCTGGGGCTGCACAGAGGGAGGTCAGCTACAAAGCAGGGTAGGGCGACGTCCTGAAGCCAGCATTCCTGGTGAGCTGACATCGGTCCTGTATGTCTCTCCAGTGCCCATCGACCATTCTGACCTGGTGGCAGACCTGCTGAAAGAGCTGTCCAACCACAACGAGCGGGTGGAAGAGCGGAAGGGGGCCCTGCTCGAGCTGCTCAAAATCACACGGGAGGATAGCCTGGGCGTCTGGGAGGAGCACTTCAAGACCATCCTGCTGCTGCTTCTGGAGACCCTTGGGGACAAAGATGTAGGCACTGGCTTGACATGGGCTCTTTCTGGGGAGGGTCATGGTGTCCTTTCTGGTCAGATTGGCTGCATCTTTCTTTTCTGGATTGTGCTCAGTTTACATTAAACATTTATCCAGTCAGGCACAGCGGCACACACCCTTCCATAATCCCAACTCCTGGGAAGCTAAGTAGGGTCACAAGTTCAAGGACAGCCTGGGCAACTTAGGGAAACTTTGTCTCAGTATTAAAAGGGCAGGGAGTGGTCTGGGGATGTAAAACACCCCCCCATTTGATCTCAGTACAGAAAGAAAAATGAAAAACTCTGTTCAGTTTTGGTATCATTTTTGAACACTTTTTAGTGTTCACAGTCATCTTGGCTTCTATAGTTTCTGAGGCTGGGTTTGCACTAATTTAGGGAAATGACTTCCTGCGTTTAGGTGCTTAAACAGAATTGCTTCACACTGCCTAAGCATAGAATGTGGCCTTTTAGAACGCACTTCCTTCCCTGTGAGTTTCACATGTCGTGAAGAAAGAGACGTTTATTCTTTAGGGGGCCCCTGTTAAATGTTGTGTTCCTTAAAGTTCCATCTTATTCTTCCTCTGTGTATTAGCAGTTCCAGGAATCTCACTCAATCAGTGGTACTTTCACGAACAGGCCCTCTTCACACTGAGGTATTTGAATGTGACAAGCTAGGCATTTGTGATGTGCTTGGTCTGAGACTCCATGTGACACCATTAGACAGATAACTCTTACTAAAGGGAAGAGTAACCTAGTAAAGTCCTGCCTTCTCCCCTCTGTGGGCTGGTCCCTTACATGGAGACCAGGTTAACGTTGGGGGAGGCTAGAATTAACTTTGGAAGTAGAAACCCATCTGCACATTGGCTTTGTCTAGGCTCACACAAACAATAAGAGAGTGTGTGTTGGAGCTGGAGGGCTGCAGGCCACAGGTAGTGCCTGGGCACTGTGGTCCTGACTCTTAATGGCCGGTGGCAGAGAAGGGCAGGGTGGTGAATACCATGGCAACTCAGATTGTTTTCTGATGGTTTGGTCTAGGGATAAATAAAGATAGCAGAATGGTAATAAAAGATCTTTATTAACTTTTCTTAAAAAAAAAAAAAATACTGGCTGTGGAAGCAGCCCCACTTGGCCAGCCTCTGTCAGGAGACAGAATGATTTCATAGGAAGGCAGGTGAATCGTGTGTTAGTGTGCACAGTGCAGATGAGTGACAGAGAATCAGGATGTACTTACTGGCTGTGTTTGGTGTGAACCCCATCCTCTTTTCTGGAGATTAGGCGTCTGTTTGGGATGGCTTTCTTCCAGACACGCGACTCTGCCTGTCATACTAAGACCTTATCACATAGGAGGCCAGGAGCACTATCAGGGTTTGCTGCTGTCCTCAGAGTTCACAGCCTGCTAGGCCCTGTCCATGAAAAGGCTTGTAGTTCAACACCTTTTATAGAAAGGTAGTTTAAATACCCAAACCCCAGGGAACTGATAGTGAACTTAGGTGTGTCATCCTCACTGGGTCTCAAGTGCCAGTCTCATCCAAGAAGCCTTTGTTGGTCTTTCCTAGGAGCTGGGTCCCAGAAGTGTCACTGTACAACAGTGTCTGTCACCTGGGAACTGACTGTCTAGAGCTCCTGTCAAGTAAACCTTGTGATTGATGTAGTGGGGTCTATGAAATGCCAGGAAGCCCGGACTGGCGCTGGCCTGTGTGTGTGGTTGTGTGCTGTATCCTGTTCAGTGAGGCTGCCTTTCCTCTTATACCCAGCATTCAATTCGAGCCCTGGCACTGAGAGTTCTACGGGAAATTCTGAGAAACCAGCCAGCACGATTCAAAAACTATGCGGAGCTGACGATCATGAAGACTCTGGAAGCCCACAAAGACTCCCACAAGGAGGTGAGCCCAGCCCCATGGCCAGGGTACAGAGCAGATGGGGCCAGGGAGGCAGACTGGGAATGGGTAGGCATACCTTTCCTGGAGCTCAGCCCAAGTTCTACAGAGTAAAGTTCCCATTGCTCTTAAACTGATTTCACAGCTGCGTGCTGAAGGTGCCAACAGGCCTCCCTGTGGTTCCCAAGGTTCTGAACCCAGCCTTGCATGCATGCTGTGGTCGCAGACACTCAGCAGACACCTGGCCTGCTTGTGTTTGTGTGTTTGGCCCTTCAGGTTCACCAGTCCTTGGAGTGATAGAGGTCTGCAGAACTATCCTAAACATAAATGACTTCAGTGGCAGGCATTGTAGAAAACAGAAGTGCTTACTTAGGAGTTTAGAAAACTTGACATGGCAGACAGTGAAGTTGACCCCAATAAGATGTGCCCACTTGTACAGTTGAGTCTCATGGCTCCATCTGAGCATGCTCATGGAGTGAGGGGCTTGTGGCTTAACAGTTCACATCTACAAGCAAAATGAGACCCTAAATGATAGTTTTTCCTTCAGTAATTGTGTGGCCGCTTGGAGCTGCTTTGACCTCTTCAGATCTCCACCACACAAGTGAGGCAACAGGGCAGTGCCTTGTCCTCTGTCTTGGCATTTCTCTACCTTCTGGCCCTAGCACAGCACCGAGTGTATAGTTGATAGATGTGATTTCCAGCTAATAGTCTTCGAATGGTTGCATGACGACTATAATCACTCATGTCTGAACAAAACACTTTCCATTTACACTAACTCATTTTAAAAATGTGAGGACAGGGAAGGCTAATATGACGAACATTGTTGTTCCAGGTAAGGAAGAGGGTCCTAGAAGAGACTATGCCTAGCAACTACTGACAGAACAGGGGTCTGAACTAGGATTTATGATTCCTTACAGCTTGCCTGTGCTGTTTTTTGTAAGCCTTAACAGCTTGTCCATAATGACAGCAAATGGTCAGTGGTAAAGGAACACCTTTAGTGAAACTGTATCCAGGTGTGGTGGCACACACCTGTAATCCCAGCACTCAGGAGGCTGAGATAGCAGTTTGAGGCCTTGAGTTCGAGGCCAGCCTGAACTACTTATCGAGACCCTGTCTGTAAGACCCAGAAAAATAAAAAATAAAGTGAGACTGTAAACTAGCAACAGTGCTTTGGCACTTACTGTCTTATTGGGAGATGTCTGTCTTTAGATGGGTTATCCTGTTTTCAAGAGAAAACTTTTACAGTTTTGTATAAGAAATATAAGTTTAACAGATTTAAATCATCTGGTTGCTATTTACTGTTTTCTGGGTGTGTTTGGGTTTGCCTGCAAAATGAAAAATAGGAGAGTAAGTTCTTCACTGTGAAATTCCCTTAAATTGCTCCAGGAAAGAGAGCAGAAAATGGCCTGCCTCGAATGTATTTAGCAGCACTCAGCTAACCCGGAGTTCCTGAGAACAGAGGGTCCCCACTCAGCTCCTCCAGTGCACAGCACAGCCCGTGGCGGATGTGCTCTGTGAGATGCCACACTGGCAGCTGCCCCTGCTTTGCATGCCTCCAGCTCACCTTGACCCATGCTCTCACCATTTCCTCATGAAACTTCGCTCTGTCACACTGCCAGTGCCACTCGGGCACCTGCATATTTAGGTTTTAGGTTTGGTTTTCATGTTTCTTTTCCCTTTCCTTTAAAATGCATAGTCTTTTTCATATGTCTCTGCTCCCGGTTTCTAGTTCTTAGTGCAGTTAGATGCACTTAAGCTGTGTGGTAGCCATCGTGCTGGCATATTAGTGCTGCACATGATTTTTCTCTGTCTCATTACAGTCTTCATCACTGCATACATACTTATGACTCCGAGCATGTATCAGGAAGACCCCAGAATTTTTCTAGGCCTGGTTGCCCTATCAGTCATGCATAGAGGCATAGTCCCTTTTCCTGTCTTATTAAAACTTCCTGGGTATGTTCATCCCAGAGTTCTTGGGGAGCTTCTTTCTCAGAAGAAGCTAGTGCTTGTCCATTCCCAGCAAACCCAGTCTTCCGCAGGTTCACATGGGGCTGCCGTGAGAGACCTTGGCGCTGCCTCCCTACCCCCACCCGGCCAGCTGAGCTGGTGACCAGTGTGTACTGTACTAGCTGTGGAATGGCAGCCCAGAAGGAATGGCAGCTTCTGGAAATTGGAAACATGTTGCAAAGCTATTAGACAAAGCAGATGAGGCAGGGCTGATGACAAAGTGGCTTGTTCTCTCATCCTGTAGGCACAGGTCTGCTTTCTCAGGTTTTTTTGAAAGAAGTTATGTGTGCAGAACATTTTTCGTATACACTGAAAATGTCCCAGGCACCTCGTCTGTCTCTGCACTGTCCATCTTAAGCCAACAGACATTCTGTAGGGAGCATGTTAGGTGGAGGGTTTGGATCCGGGTTTAGAGCTTTTATTTTAAAAGTTAGTATTTGTCCGCTTAGGCATAATCTTTTCATGGTCCCTATTTGGATAAGCAAATCTCTCCCCTTACCTAACTCCATTTTTTTATCTTAGTAAATACATGCTGCTACTGCGATTTAGTGCCCTTAACATTAATGAAGTCGCTGTGGTTTGCAGTGCTGTTAGTGTTCAGCAGACACCTTAAATGGCCAAAATTTGATAGAGACCTTTAAAACAAGGAGCTCATTTTCTGTTTTTTAAGATCACTGTTAGTTTGAACCCTTCTCATTTTAGAATTTACAGTCTGTTAAGAACCTCTCCTTCATGATTAATGAAAGAGGATTTAATAGAAGAATTCGTACTATAAGGAGGAACTCCTGGGGCAGTGTGGGGTATGAATATTGAAGCAGAAAACCTGGGTTCCAGTCCAGCATCTGCTGGTCTCCACCTCCATGTTAGTGACGTCATTTTCCTATGGCCCCGGATAGACAGAGGGGACGAAAAGGGGATCTCTCACATGCTAGGCAGGCATTCTGGTGCTGAGCTACATCCTAGTCAGAAATAGGCTTTTAAACTGTCACCTGCCTTACGCACATTGCTACATGAAACTGTTGTCAAACATCCTTATCCATTTGAGAAGTGGAAAAAGTCTCTTAGGAAAAAGTTGCCTGAATAGTTGTGGCTCCCAGTCATATCTTGCACGATAGTAATGCTCTCTTTAGTTTGAGAGAGATACTAACTCTTTTTCAGTACTGGGAATTGAACCTAGGGTTCAATTGAGCTACATCTCTAGCCCTTTATAATTTTTTTTTTTTTTTTTTTTTTATTTTT